ATAAAGCGATATTTTCTTTTTATGTTAAAAATGAGAAGATATATGAAATTTTACTTAGTTTCAAAGTATAGTTTCCAGGCAGCAAAATCAAAAGTGGGAAGAAAAATATGTTAATTTCTCATGAAAATAAAGATTTTCCTATCATTTATTTTTATAAGACAGTTCTCAGGTGGGACTTAATATAATGGATACAAATATAAGATAGTTAATAAGATAGGATTAATTTCTTTTAATTCTTTCATGTAGGAAACTTAAAAAATATATACATATCAGTTTATAACATGGAAATGCAACTCAGAAAGGGTAATTCTGAGAGAAACTAAACTAATGTGGTTCAACTATTTGGGCCTCTGATGGTTTAAGGGAATGTCAGGTCTCTGTCAGCCATTACATATTGGCTGGATTTTTTAAAATGCTCATAAGCTTCTCATCAAGCTTCTGCACATCTTTATGAAGATTTTGCCTGGCCTAAAATCTGAGTGTGCCAGTGGCAATAGAACTGTAGCCTGAACTCTACTTCCCACGCCTCCAGCCCAGAGTAAGGGGCATCTTGTTGTAATTAATCTGCCTAAAGGGGTTCCCTGCCTGTGACAGACCTCTTAGATGGCCAATTTAACATTCATTCCCAACCTTTATCTTCCTTGGCCACCTATATTATAAAAGATGACAAAACCAGAAAAGAATATTCCTTGCTACTGAAATAAGCCCAATTTCCTAGATTTCTGGAGTATCAAAAGTTTTTTGTAGGATCATCTGAATATTTATCTTTATTATTCATTTCTTAATTCAGAAAGCATGGAATATCTTACAACTTTCTGAACTGCCTTTGTAGCTAGAGATGTCCATGTGACTCAGCTCTTTTACTTTCTCTGTTGAATGCAGATATGATGACTGAAACTGAGGTATCCATGTTGCAACTGAAAAAAGGCAGGCAACATGAAATTCAGCCATGTCAGCTCTGCCGTTGCTTAGATGTCCAAGCCAGGAGCTGCCTAAGTCCATCCCTTTCTCTGCTGTGAGAAAAATAAGCCATTTTGTTTACGCCACTGCAAGTTGGGTTTTCTGCCTTTATGTCTAACACGTTCCTTACTGACACAGTGCCATAATAACGAAACAGGCAGCAAGGATAACAATACGTTCTCGGCAAGTCCACAGACCTATGCAGTTCTTTTAATTCTACTCCAGCATGCTCTATCCAAAGCCGGTTAAAAGTCTATTTTAAAATAACTCATTTGTTTCTTGATGGTCAGGGTTTGTTAGAGGGCTTTTACCAGCTTTTTGTTTGTTTGTTTCATGCAATATCATTTGTCAGTGATGAGTCATCAACTCCAAACTGTGCATCAGACACCTTGGCCTCTTCTTTGAAGATCCTCCCCACCATATTTTTTTCTGATTAAATCACTCCTATACAAATGGCTACTATCTTATATTTTATCCTAAGACAGTAAGTCATATAATAACATGAAGGCCTATGACTTTCATGGCAGTTTCAAATGTTTATTTTTATCACTTGCTTTGACAATATCCTTTTACGAGGCAGTAGGTTTAAAATTTACATCTTATCCAAGTCCAACAGAATCTATGTTAACAGACTTCCATTCTGCTTGCTCCTCTATAACATTTCCCAAGAGCTCATCACTGGGCTTGAACCCAAAATTCTGTCCTCTCTCCTGTACTCCAAGTACTTGATAAACAGACAAACATATTCTGGGGTATGGGTAGCACTGCCAGAAGACAATGCTCAGTAGTCCCCTAGTGGCCTGAAAGAGTTCGTGCAGTCTATAAAAAATGCTTACTCTACCCCATGGAGTAGTGAGATTCATTACACAGGAAGAGCAAGCAGCTGCCAATTAGCACGTTCCTTTCCAGAAAGCCCAGGATTCTACTTTGTCTAGATTTGCTCTCCAGTGGATCATACAGTCCATCTAAGTATCATACTGTATCTTCATAATCTGAAATTCTGAATTAAAAAGCTCCTGTTAGGAGCTAATAACATTAACCAACTTCCCTGGAGCAAAAAAAAAAAAAAAAAAAAAAAAAATTTAATATGGATGCAGTGCTTTCAGTGGGAACGCAGGGCAGAAATGACACCTAGGTTATGAAGGAAGGAAATCAGAGGCTGTGAGAAATCTAGGCAGCTGTTAGCTCAGTTTTTGGGGTTTCAGTGATGTCTCTGCTTCCTTCTCTACAACTGCTGCATTTCTGTTTTTTTTTTTCTCTCCACAGCCAAACAGGCCTTCTCTAATACTGGCAGCCTTACTTAATGACACAGGCCAAACTAATTTTTTAACCTTATTTCTAAATGCTGGAGAGGAAAGACTTGATTTGGCCAAAAATGATAATGACAATGATGATTATGATGATGGTGGTGTTAGCGGTGCTGATGAATGTTTTTAGTTCTTGTTTACTACGGGAAATTCCCTGTGATAAACTCTTCATGCATTTTTTCATTTAATTCTCACTAAAACCCTATAATTCCACTTTATAGGTGATGCAGATGATGCCTAGAGATGATAAATAATTTGCCTAAGTGACTTGCCTGCTAATGAACCTTAATTACTCGATTCCAAAGTGGTCTAATCAACAGAAAGTTGATAGAGGATCGAACATGATGAAAAAGGCCCCACCCCATGAAACTGCAGGGCAATTCTCATGAAAAAAAACAAGTGCTCTCATGAACTGCTAAGGCAATCCCACTGTAGTCCGCTATAGATGCCTATGCTTTTTCTCAAATCCTCCAGTGAGGAGCATTCAAACCTCCCTCTGTTGGACTCAGTTTTATCTTCCACTATTTTTATTCATTACATTCCTCTTTGTTTACTAAAAGTTTATCCAACTTCTGAAACTCAGTCCAAATGTCATCTTTTTCATGAAATAATCACTGATACCTCCTTCATATACAGAAGCCTCTTCACTCTGTTTCCATTGCACATGGTTAATTAACTATATTTTTGACACTCGGCATCTTGTTAATTCTATTACGTTGATTATTAATATTTAGAGTGTTTACTGAAAGTAAGCATTTTTTAAATTCCTGTATTCTCAGCACATGACAAGCCCTTAATAAAGGTTAAATTGAACTGATAATGGTTGAACAGCTATAAACCATAAATTTCTATACCTGTGTTCCTCTAGACATGATTTTTTAAACCAGCTAGATTTGTGTTTTAAGGTCTGAAATTGATATTGCCTGCTATACTTTTTGGGAGCATTAGAGTGCCCTATATGTTCAGTATTCTATTCCTAACCAAGCCAGAATAATTTAAAGCTGCTGTCCAGAGGACTGTCCCTTTATTGTCCTTTGTTTCCCAGAGCAATTTTATCCTTATTGCACTGGATTTCCAAAAGGGACTGCAAGGGGATTTTCTACAGTGTCCACTGAGAGGCTATGTATCCCTTAACAATACTATAAAAAAATAATGTTGGTCCTGAGAGTTTAAGAGTCCTAACTTTAGAAAACGGAACCAGATCTGTCACATATAAAGCACAGGGTATTAAAGTGTATACTTTGAAATTAGGGATACTAACTAGCTCTGGGACATAAGGGAATTTGAAATATGTTGTGGTTATCAGATGGAGTAAGTCTGAAGTAGAGTAAAAAGAATCCAAGGAGATACAGAAACCAGGTCCTGTAATGAACAAAAAAGATTTTAGGGATGTTTATCTTAAATTAGAGAGGGCATGATAGCTATCTTTGTTTAATGGCTATGATGTGGTCTTCCCCTGAGAAATTATTGTGTATTGCTCCAAAGGTGAGAACTAGGACTAGAGTGTAAATTTGAATTCAGCACAAGTAAAATAATGTGAGAAAACAGATGTTAAATACCACTTGCCAGGAATGCTGGAAGGAATTCAGGCTTTTTGATGAGTAACCAAAAAGTTCCATGAAACCATGAGATTCAGCAATCTTTACATACATACATATATAATTTCGTAGGAAATATTGTACTCTTCCTGGTTCCACTGTTTCTTTGGTTATACGTAGTTTCTCGAAATGGTCTTCAAATGATTTATGTCATGTCTTCAAAAATGACTCAAGACTGTACTATGTCTACGATACTTGCCATCGCCTTTGTAGAATTTAGGTTGTGAAGATATAAACTTGGGTGAATTGGGTGGATAGTGAGTGGATCTGATTTGGCAGGAGCATGGTGAAATGAGACATTTGCTTCTTGTAGTTATGGTTCTGAATGTTATATGTACATATACACATGTATGTATGTATGTATGTATGTATGTATAATGATTTTATTGTTTAATTTTTTATTTAAAGATTAAAATTTTAAAGCTTAAAGAGACTTCTTTTACTCCAATATCCTCCTACCAGACTGGGTAGAGAATGTTATTTCTTGGGTTCAAACATTTTGCTTTTGACCTGTGGCAAGCCTAGTAAAATAGTACCGGCAAGATCATCATTAACCATGTTTATGGATGCTTTATTCTTACAACATTTCTACATGGGGGAATCAGCTATTTTCTTACATTGTCTCTTATAGGCAGCATTCAAGAAATTAATCAGCTATTTTCAGACATTGTCTCTTATAGGCAGCATTCAAGAAATTCGTTAGGTTTCTAAAAATAGTGGTAGGATCCATTTATATCTTAGCTTGAGATGCCACACCCCTGACAGGAAGAATCAGTGAAGTACTTAAAGAAAACACTAAGCCAACAGCAATATAACCAGTTGTTCTGGTGTGTTATAAGTATTTTTCAGTAGATAATGAGGGACAATTTTTAAACACGGAGGAAAGGTGTGTCTGAAGCAATAAAGCTGATAAAATCAGAAAGAGAATCCAAGAAAATCTCAATATCATTAGACTTTTTAAGCAGTAAGAGCGGTGTAGGAATTCTGTGAACCATAGAAATAATAAATGCTAAACCCATTGGAACATAATCTCAATCAGCAAGATGCCAGTGCTTTCCAGATTTTCTCACAGGGCTCTGCTAATTCCATGCCAAAACTAGCAGTGGATTTCTTCCTTCTAATCTCCCCTAATGCCTTATTTGATTATTGTCACTGGACTCCAACCATGCACTATCCCTTCAGACTCTCATTTCCCAAATGAGTCAGTCAGAGGAGGCTGAGTGTCCATTAGGACATGGTCTAAGACCACAAACCACCTTGTTCCACGTAAAAAGACGGAAACAAATTCAAAGAGAAGGGGGGACCCTCAAAGTTTTGCTAAGAAACTCAGCATCTACCGGATTACTGGCTGAATGCAAACAAGAAAAGGGGGTATGAGGGGTCCAGAAGGTTGTCCTAGTTGAGTGGCAAAGGGGAGCTGGTTAGTGGGGAGGATAAACCAGGAAGAAGACGAAGTAGGCATTTCAGTGCACTGCAGGATGGTGTCACCTCTGCCCTGGCTGTACCTTATTTTATGGTGAGTAAATTTTTTTTTTTCTGATTTTTCCTTTTAACTCAGAGGAAAGAGAAAGCACACAGCCACTGGGTAACTTCTATACCAAGTCACAGAAGAAGCCTGGGTGGTGTGGCATATATTTGTGGTGGGAAGACTAGGATGAATTGAACAGCACATTTTTCTCTGAGGCTGGAAGTGAGGATCACTGACTGTCTACCTACAGGGTAGAAAATGCCCTTGGGAAACTTGAAGATGAAGGAAACTTCTACTCAGAGAACATCAGTCGGATCCTGGACAACTTGCTTGAAGGCTATGACAATCGGCTGCGGCCAGGATTTGGAGGTGAGAAGCAATATCCTTAGTAGACCAGATATCTGTGCTCTCCACCGCCCCCCACCCCTCCACCTACTACTACGCCAATGTCCAGAAGGAGAGCAGCATGAGAAGGTGCAAGGGTACTGGAGAGAGGCCACGTGTGTGTTCCAATCCAGTCTCTGCCCCTCCTCTATTAGCGATCTTACACGTAAGTTATTTGAACTCTTTGAGCCTCAGTTTCCTCAACTGTAGTGTAAGTGTATTGCTTACCTCACAGAGTTGCGTGTACTGGATGAGATTCTCTATGTAAAACACTTTTCTTAGTATTTATCCCACTGAAGCTATCAAATATATGTTATTGTAATAATTTTATTAGAATACTAACTTAGTTCTCTTCCTTTCCTTATAGTTCCCAAATTGGCTAAAATAAATTCAAAATAAGGCAACTGGTGTGAGTTTTCAGAGCTGAAAAACTCAAGGACTCTTGCTACTAAGATCACTCTGGAATGGTTGGCAGATTCTGGCCATGAGAACAGGCTCTGGGGTAGAGTTAAGTCCAGTTTCCTTAACATCAGCAGTAATAATTGCCCCCATCCTTCTGGGTTAATTTCAGGTGCTGTCACTGAAGTCAAAACAGACATTTACGTGACCAGTTTTGGGCCTGTGTCAGATGTGGAGATGGTGAGTGAGCTCTCAGTTAGGAGTGTAACTTTACCCAGGGGGAGAGAGGGCTGAGTCCCAGAACTAACGGTAATAGGCACTGTTACCAAGGTTGGCTCTAGATCTACAACACAATAAGCAAACTCATGCTCAGAGGGCATGGCCATTAGAGGATTTTACTGGCTTAATCTCCTCTACTAAAGGGTCTGCTTGAACACTTTAATCTGCGGCACTTTTAAAAATGACATCCTCTCTTCTATCCATGTATCATGCACTGATTCTTCTCTATAAAGAGAAGATTTTCTCCATCTTTATGAAGTCCTAGTAAGTGTCTGGAGTAGAAAAACCAACAAAAATGCTATGCCATGAAGAGTATATTGGGGATATCTATGAAACTTGAAATATAGCTTTTTTTTTTTTTTTTTTGTAGTACACCATTCTCAGTATATTTAATTAAAACGGTAAAGGGAGTCATTTGGGAAGACTAATGCAGTCCACTTTTATGTTGTGAACAGACCAGTAGGTGTTCTGAGGATTTTGTTCCAGGTACAGACGGCTATAAGATTCATAAAAGGTTATTTATAGTAAGTAGCCTTCTAGTCTTCTAGAACAAAGTTCTTTCATAGTTCTTAGGTAGCATTTCCTCCTAAAAGTAAAATGTAAACCCTAAAACTAAAACATAACTCTTTAAAGAGGTGCTTCAGTACATTTTAGTAATTCTGAATAAGCAGTTATTAGAGACTTTGTCATCATCTGCTTTTTAAGTTGTCAAGAAAAGAAAGAAGGAAGGAAAGGAAAGAAGGAAGGAGAAAAAGAGGAAGAGAAAGAGAAAGGAAGATAAGAAAGATAATAAGGAAGAAGAGGAAAGAGGAAGAACTTTATTTAAGAGATAAATGTCTAAGTCCTGAGAAAAAGGAGAGTCTTCATTATCCAGAATCTTCAATTATTTCCTATCATATTTTTCATTTGAGTACTGAGTCACCCAAATATAGATAACTACAACCATTTCTACTGTATTATTTGTCTGGGGATACTTGGAATGTTATTTTATATGTTTGTCTCCTTTTTAAAGTATGTTTGCACAATAGAGCCTTTTTATAGCCTGGATCATTATTATGTGGATATATTGTATATCAAATTATACTTTTAAAATATAATTACCAATTGCAGTAATAGGTGTCCTAAAGGAACATAAAAGTAGGCAAAACAGCTATTGGCAATATTTTGATATAATTACAAGTTGTATTTTATCACTGCCTTTTGCAATGGTCCTTATAATTCTTAAGATTTTTAATGTTATTTCATAAAAGCCACAAATTTAAACTCATAATTATGACTATGCTCTGTTTGAGTAATCAGGTAACATTTGCTTTTATGTTCTCTGAGAACAATATAAAATAATTAGAATGTGCAGCCAGAGTATGCTTATCATAAGTTGTTTATCCATCCTTGAAACTTTACTAAATGGAACCATGATGCTTGGAAACACCTCTGAAGGTGGACAAATTGCTAAGAAGAATGGTTAGACTAACTGATGCTAAGGAGGTCAGCAGAGAACCTAGACTGTAAGTCCTTTTATATTTTTCTTCTAAATTAAAGATGAGGGAATCGATAAGTTGAGAGATGGAGAGATGGATGCCAGAAAAAGAGGAAGAAAGTTGAGATGGGTCAAGGTTAAGGATGGAGGTTTGCACAACACAGCACTATCTTTTATAATAATATCACAAACTTTGAGTTTGAGAAAAATAACAATTCACTAAAATTATGGCTTTCTTAATAGATTATTGTTACAAAAAGGTGCTTTATTCCTTAGGTATTAGAAGTGGGTATATAAGCTAGTGAGTAAACTATTCTTAATAGACCATCTCTCCAGCCTGCATAAATATCTTACTTTGTCTTAGGAGTATACCATGGATGTTTTCTTCCGCCAGACCTGGACTGATGAAAGGTTGAAGTTTGGGGGGCCAACTGAGATTTTGAGTTTGAATAACTTGATGGTCAGTAAAATATGGACACCTGACACTTTTTTCAGGAATGGCAAAAAATCAATTGCTCACAATATGACAACTCCTAATAAACTCTTCAGAATAATGCAGAACGGAACCATTCTATACACGATGAGGTAAGGTTTCTACAATTCTACTTCCTCTGCCTAACTGATCTGTCCATCATACTAACTCAGAACCATTCGTTTCTTGCCCTTAGGCTTACCATCAATGCTGACTGTCCCATGAGACTGGTTAACTTCCCTATGGATGGGCATGCTTGTCCACTCAAGTTTGGGAGTTGTAAGTTACAAAAACTTCCGAGAGTCAAATAATGCATTAAAAATATGTAATTATTATGTTTTAGTCAGATACTGGAAAGCAAAAGAGAAATATTACTATAACACTACCAGTGTGATTCCAGGAACATACTTATTAACATGTTTGTCATAGTTAGAGGTTCTAGTTACCCAGATTAAAAAAAAATATGAAAGAAAATTTAGGTTTGCACTTCTATTTATATGGACAAGATTTGCTTTGAAAGAAAAAAAAAAGCACAACTAGTCAGATTCACTGCTATGTCTAATTTGTTTAAAAATTCAGATGCTTACCCCAAGAGTGAAATCATATATACATGGAAAAAAGGACCACTTTACTCAGTTGAAGTCCCAGAAGAATCTTCAAGCCTCCTCCAGTATGATCTGATTGGACAAACAGTATCTAGTGAGACAATTAAATCTAACACAGGTAAGAATGTGACCAAAGCATGAATGCAATCCTGCAAGATGATTCCAGTGCAGATCTTCAACATATCTATTTCTTTTTCCCCTTCATAAGCCATCCTCAGATAAGCTTGATGTTTTGAAGTGATGAATAGCTTTCTTTAAATTGATTTTGCAACCACGTGCACATAAAGATCTGTGTATCCTTGGAATGAGTAGTTTTGTACATATATGACACAAAGAATCCCACTGAAAACAATGAACTGATGTATCTATCATCTGCTGATCAAGTGTCTTTGTCATACACTGAAACATGCCTTTGCTTGTTTTCTTCTGGCCCACCTTAATTTAAAGATCTGCAAGATTTATTTCTAGTTGCATTCTTTTTACACACTGTCAATAGCAATAATACTGATATAAGTGTCTTCCAACAGGTGAATATGTAATAATGACAGTTTATTTCCACCTGCAAAGGAAGATGGGCTACTTCATGATACAGATATATACACCTTGCATTATGACCGTCATTCTTTCCCAGGTGTCTTTCTGGATTAATAAGGAGTCTGTCCCAGCCAGAACTGTTTTTGGTATGCTTTACTCTTTGGGCTTCATTTCCATTCATATTCTAGCTCTCATGACTTGTGTATTTTAGGGGAATATTCACATGGGCGCACTTTTTCAGTCCACAAAGGAAATGGACTTGTATCTCATTCAGACACATGTATCATGTAAAATGATCTTCATCTTATCCCAAGTTATGCAGTGAATCAACAAAAAAACCATCTTAGCAAGAATTCTGGCTGGTTTCCTACGATCTTCATGTACTCTATTTAGGAGGGCTTTTTTTTTTTTTTTTTTTTTTTAATCTTGATTTTCTTTATCACAAACAGGAAAAGAATAAAAGTAAAAACTAATATATAAATCTATAAAAACAAAGGCTAAGATGTTGAACCCACTAATATATAAATTGTATCTCACTTTTATTAGGTTGAACCATAAAAAATGGCTATTTTTCTAGGTCAAAAAATAGTTAAATATTCACAATTTCCCATGGCTCAAACTAAACATTTAGTTCCATTTATGATGTATAGAATCACTGCTAGTTTTGATGGAACAAATGAAATAAGAAAGAACTGCGACAGAAAAATATTGCTAACAAAATACAATTTTTCCTGAGTTTTCCTAATTATAAATGTAGTAGTTCGTAGATAAGACCTGAGTTGAACTGAAATCTCTGATGAATTTTGACTTTTTAATTTATTAAACTAATATTTCTGAAAAATTATAAAAGAATACTATATAATGATGTTAACCATATTCAAATTACATAAGTTCTCCATCATAATTCAAGACAGAAAACTGCTAGCAGATGAATAATGAAATTACTTTCTCACGAGTAAATATCTTACCTTAAAACTAAGCTAGAAATTAAAAAAAATGAGGAACCTAATTTTATGATTGTTATTCATACCAGAAATACTTCTTAAATATGATGAAAAATATCACTATTAAAATTGATCAGAATTTCAAGGTTTTATTACTTCAAGGATAATAATTTGCTTTAATTTTCTAAAGTAAACAACTAGAATTTTTCATGAGTTACATTTTTCATGACTTATTTAAATTGATAGTCATACTAAATCAATTCAAAAAAATGTTTTGAGCAACTACAGTGTACATGTCATCTGCAACACTAGAAATGAAAGATAAAAAAATGAAAATATCTATGATATTATGTGAACATTTATAAAATGAAATAATAAAAATTACATTTGAACAGTGTTTAATCCTCTCCACCAACATGTTCTCATTTAAGGTTGTTATTGGATTCTAAATGCTAACACTGCATTTCTCATTCTTTTTAATTTTAGGGATCACCACTGTTTTAACCATGACCACTTTAAGCATCAGTGCCCGACACTCCCTGCCAAAAGTATCGTATGCAACAGCCATGGATTGGTTCATAGCTGTTTGCTTTGCTTTCGTCTTCTCTGCTCTTATTGAGTTCGCAGCTGTCAACTACTTTACGAATCTTCAGACACAGAAGGCCAAAAGAAAGGCAAAGATTGCAGCCTCATCCCCAGTGACAATATCAAAAGCGAATGAACCCTTGGAAGCTGAGATTGTTTTGGTAATTGTTTCCTTTTCTAATGTTACCCACCATCTAGGAAAAGGTAACCCAAACAGTGATCACAAACAGCTAAATATTCTAAAAGTTATATTTGTTGAGCATGAGTTATATAACTCTGACCCAAGACCGATTTCTTTTCCAGGGTAAAGCCAAACAACGATCCTTCATTTACCTTTGCATTCCTCTTTTATCGCCCTCACTAGTACTGGCAGATGCCAAGCTCTCAGAAACAAGAAAATTCTTCTTAGCCTTTAGATATTTCCTTTGAAAAGGTTCACTTATATCAATGAGGGAGAAAAAAGTAAAATAAAAAAAAAAGTTCCTAATAAGGCTTTGAGGCTTCAGAGTCTGAAGGAAACAAACAGAGACTCCTATGTAACGGACAATTTTTGTTAGAAATCTGCTTGTTGGTTTATTACATGAGGGCAAGATGTATTTGGTTCTACGAATGATGAGTCATAGCCAAGTTTTTGATTTATATGAAAACATTCTCATGTTCATATTCACATATTAAATGTGTGTGTGTGTGTGTGTGTGTGTGTGTGTGTGTGTGTGTGTGGTTTTATTCAAAGAGTTCTAATCAGTGAGAAATTGCTATAAAATTAAGTTTAGATTTGCTGTGTCTAAGCTCTGGTTTTGAATAATAAATGATAACATTAATAATTCAAGGGTCATAAATGTGCCCCCAAACTACATTTTTGCATGTTAGTAAATTCTCACAATTAAGGAGCACACACTTTTTAAAAATAATTATGAAATCATTTAAGAATACATTTTTATTTCAATAAAACTCCAAACAGTAGCTCTTAAAAAGAGAAAAACTTTACTCTGTAAAACTGAGGAATACAGACACTTTAATCTGAAAATTTCTTTATAATTAGTCAATTCTTATGAACATTTCTAAATCACAGAACCACACACAGCCCAGCTTATTCTTTGTTAACTTTTATGATAAAAAATATAAAAGTGATGTGTTTTAACTCTCAAATACTCATGCATATAATTTTTTACTAAAACTTTTCTCTTTGATAAACTAACAATCTAGTTTGAGAATTTACATTTTTTTCCATGGAATAACATAAGGCTAGTCCCATGATAAGTGGAAATATATAATTTAAAGTTTTTTTCTTGAATTAGCCCTCACTAAAGAATAAAATAAAAATTGCCATCTAGTGACCCAACCTAATTCCTTCCATTTACAAATTGAAACAGTCTCAGGAAAAATATTAGTTACTAGTTGGTGGAAAAACTAGGAATTGATTCCAGAACTCCTGATGCTGAGGCCTTCTCCTTCGCCAACAATTCCTCAAATAATGAAATATAAAAGAGTGCATACATTCTCAAAATATAGGTGAGGTCATTCCCAAAATTCTCCCCCTGACTTATTGATGATTTCTTTCTACATACATGTTTTGAAAGGTTGCAAAAATATGAGCTTTCTAAAAAAAATGTCAGTCTGAAGACTCATTCTAAAACACCAGATATTCAGTTTTTATTCAGAAAAGATAAATTCTGAATATTTCTGAGTGTTTTATGTTTGTAAAAATAAGTGATTATGTTATAAGCTATCTGTATTTCTACAGGTATATAACAACATATTGTCCAAATAAGAACATATATTAATATGATCTTAACGCATATCTATAAATGAAGAATTTATGTTTATCAGAATTCAGTTTAACAGTTTGTTATTTGAGAAATATAGTAAAAATGAAAAGAGAAATTCATGAGAAATAGGGTCAAAATATGACTCCAATGACTTAGAATATGCTCACTGATCTAATACTGAAATAAAAGGAAAGACCAACTTCTTTACTTCGACTTTTTAAAAATATATGTTACTGAGAGGAATATGATTTCAAATCCTTGGAGAAAGCATACAGTTATCACTCCCTTAGTCAATTATTTTAAAGTTATAATTTATTAATAAGATGAAATTTAAGATCTCAGGTCTTCATATAAACTATCCTAAAAATTCTAAAATAGTAACATATAATGAGCAAACCCTTGGGAAACTGGATAAAAATTGCATTTAAATCATCTCAAAGTAACTTCTTCTTGCAAGTTGACTTTTTTCTTATGAAAAATATATTTCTAAACCTGGCTCTACTTAAAATATTTTAAGGCAATGAAAATGAGAATTTTATTTCTGAAAGGCTAGGTCCAAGAGTGAAAAAAAAATAAAAATAAAAATAACCAAACCCAACAAGACGAATCTTGTAGGCATAAAAAATAAACCTAGATGAATACATAGAATATTTACATTTTATTTATTCAGAATGTCAAAACTTGGCAATTTGCCTTATATAATGTAGAGCAACAAATATAAATTACACATTTGCAATTTATACAACACAATGACACATATGATTGCAAGGTCATTTTTTTTTTCTTTCAAATACCATGACATTTAAAATGCCTATTCACTCGTAATCAAAATAGCATTTTTTGAGGAAGTTGGACACCGAAATAGCAAACCAGTGTGGTGAAGTTGAAATGAAATTAAGTGCTTGGATATTTCATGTGATTCTGAGTTGTATATTTTAATGTACTCACTGCTTTTCACAAGAAATTACTTATTATGAATGTGGAGACAAGTTTAAGTTGACCTTAAAATTTAATATAATAATGACCAAAAAAAAATTCAGTCATTTTAAATCTACTACTCAAACCATAAGAGTCACTTAAAACTAAATCCTCAGCAGTGCTCTACAGATTCATAATATTTTTGTTTTTAAAGGTATCTGGAAGTGGAAACTTTGTTTAGATTTTGAGAAGAAATTGTCCACACTTTCTTTTCTACTTATGTGTATCTTTTCTTATTGTTTTTATCTGGTATGCTATCTGGGCATTAGAGAGTTATTCCTGCCTTCGTATTTCAGAATTTGTATCTGATATATACTTATTTTGCATGTAAGACCAAGTTTGAACCTTGATCTCTCGGATGTTTTGCTATCTTCTTTGTTATTTTATTCTTGTCAATAGGAAGAGACAAATCAGTGAGCCCTGACAATACACTGTGATAAGGGCTGTGGTTAGAGATGTGGTAGGCTGAAGCAGAGCCACGCAAGAGTACCTAACTCAGTCTGGTGGGGTTATTCTGAAGGAAGTGATGCCTAAGCTGACAACAGAAAGATGAGCCTGGTCCTGCTCTAGAAGCACTAAGTTGGTTGCTAAAAACTTGGGCATAGAGAGGGAAATTAGACATATATTCTTTCTGTACTCTATTTCAAGGCTGGGATATCTGCTGGGCCATTACCATGTTGCTCTGCTCCTCTGCAGAAAGAGATAAAGCATAGAATACTGAAAGGTTTACCTCCTCTGTTCTGAATATTGCCAAGATTTCTTTGAGTACTATCATTATTCAGTAGAATTAAGGGTTGAATTTAGACTATCACATACTCTGAGCACCAGAAAGATCATGGTGCCCCTTCCCCATGGCTGTGCCACTGTATGATTTACAAAGAGGGTGGGGTGGATTATATGAGGGGTGTAGGTGGTTAGTCCTTTTTCCATGCCTGCTATCAAACCTCAATCCAATATTCCATTCTTCGCCCTCCAAACATTCCAATATGGTTTCCAGACATACTCCAGTGATCTACCAAATTACTGCCAATAATCTGCTTCTCTCTAGAAATTCTGGGATCAGCTATTTTCAATTCTACCAGCTGTAGCATAAATGCAAGAAAATTTGATGGCATTCTTGTTTTCTCCATAGTGATATGACGGTTAAAAAAATGACAGTTAAAAAAAATTTCAAATACTAAATGTTTTCAAAAATATTTTCTCATCAATGATGCGCCTGTTTGCTGGTTCTCAAAGCAAATGTTTTATTTGTCCCTTGAATAATGCAGCCCTGGTTAGACTCTCTCTCTTGAGAGGTTACCCACTGCCCTCTTCTCTGTAATATTTTAGACTCAGTGTTATATCAAAATTTCTCTAAGTACTTCCCAAATACCTTATCTTTACATCAAATAACTGACTGTCATTAAGTCCAGTTTGAGTCAAAGTACCATGGCAATATGCTGTTACTTAAAACAAAGCTGTGTTCTAAAAATATCCAAAGCAGGATGGCACTCAGCAGCAGGGGAGCCCTGGAAAAATTCAAAACCACAGGTGTTCCACTCAAAATGGTGACAGCCCCAAGCTGAGCCCTCATCTGGACTCTGACAAAAGCCTATTTTACCATCAACTGAAGCTGCTGGGCTTACAATAGAGCAGGCGGGGTCTGATGCAAACCTGTAGCTTGAATGGCTTGCAAAATTGGCTTTTTCTTAATTGCAGAAATTCAGCGTGATTCTTTCTAAATTGGCATCTGGTCTCCTGTACTGCCAATTCCCAATTATCCAGGAGCTGATTATCCAGCGTGTTGGGTTAGCCAGGCCTCATGCATTTCCTTGAGCATACCATTTGCTGCCCGCTAGAAATCCCCCCAGTCACCACCTGGCTGTGGGACACTTGTAACTCTAAACCCATAATTCTCAATGGTGGGTGAATTTCCCCACCAGAGGATACATGGCAAGGTCTGGATATATTTTTAGTTGCCCACCCCCCAAAAAAGAGGAAGGGAGGGAGTTGCTACAGGCATGCTACAGGCATCTCGCACACAGAAGGATGCTGCTCAATTTCCCATAATGTACAAGACAGTCCCCCACAACAAATTATTTATCCTACTCAAAGTGTCAATAGCTTTGTGGTTGCCCTAAATCGTAAAGCTGACAGGAAGAAACACAATAATTGTTGAGTGTGATCCTTGGCATCTAAGAGAGATTGATTTTAGGTGCTGCCAATTATTACTTGTGTGAGCTTCCTGCTTAAGCCTTTATTTGCTCATCGCTAAAATGAAAGTAACATTATTTATTATATTACAGATTCTTTCTAGGAATAAGCAAAAAAAATGCATGTAAAGTGCTGTGTAGTGCTTGTCAACGGCAAGCATTTCTATATGGTACCTATTATAAAATGCAATGTAAAACAATATACTAAAATATGTTAACAATCATATAGATATTCATTCATTTGTTGCTTCAGCATATGTTTATTAAGCATATACTATGCTCTATGCACTGGCTAGGCACTGTGTAGCACTTACTTATGAGAATAATGAGCCTTCTGCTATTAAGGAGATTTTATGTCAGGAAAGGAGATGAGGCATTACAGAAATAATATTTACAAAGAAGTATGTTATAATGGCTACAAGAGTCATATCACCTAAGTAAAAAAGTGTATTGTGTGTGCGTGTGTGTGTGTATAACATTTTCTTTCTCAAATTCTCAAAGAAAAAACTTACAATGGAAGTAATAATTATTTCTAACTTTAAAGATAGTAAATTGAGGCTTAGGGAGAGTCCATGAAATCTATGACACGTCTAAGTCATATAGCAGTTAAGTAGTTTGTATGGACTTGCAATATAAGGCATTGTGACTCTCCTGTCCTCTTAATTCTTAAGCGACTCACCACAGAGACAGTGTGGGGCAAGCAGAGGAGGAAGAGGAGAATCATATTTTAAGGAACCTTTAATACCAGGCTAATGCCATCATGCTTAATTATTTTCATGGTGTTTAGTCTTGAATGATATTGCTTAACTCTGGACAAGAGTTATTTGGCAATCCTCATTAAGTCATGTGTGACTCTGGGATGATGCCAAGACACTAACAAATAACTTTTTTCCCCACATCTCTAAAAAAAGTGGGGGGAGATAAAACAACACCTTACATTTTTATGCTCGATTATGTTTTATAATCACTTTCTTATCTCAATAAACATTTTCATGTCTGCCCCTCAGTTTCTCCCTAAAAATAAATAAATAAATAAATAAGAAATGCAGGTTTCAGACTGGCAATGTGTGCCATTAAAAGTCAAGATGAATTTAGAAAGAAAATCTGCTCTAAAGGCTTGTCTTCCTGCTACTCTGTTATGATCCTTAGGAATTTTACTAAAATAAAATATTTTAGTGTTTTATATATCTGGGAGCAGAATACCCCTTTTTGGAGAATAAAACAGTGATACATTTTGCTGTTTCTGGTGAAGAATATATTAATAACATATTTAATGGATGAAAATTCAATTAGAGTCAGAGAAACATGGTCAAAAGCTCTTGTAAAATGATGCTGTGTTTATTCCCTAAGAGAGGCAACATGCATTGAGACCAAAACCCCACTGCGCTGGTCCTACCCACATACTGCCTGGTGACCCTGGGTACAGTAATCCTCCACTGTCACATACTTTTAATACAAAGTATCACTTATTTCCTATTCAAGACCAGCAGACTGGTCCCTGTACTGTTTTTAATTCTCTTGTACATCCAAGACCTATGATTTATTTAATTCTATTCACAGTGCCTATCACAATACTGGGCCAGCAGATAACAAATAAAGATATTCTTTGCTTGAAATTCGGCACGGTCATATCAAATTAGATTTGACTACACAGATTCATTTTTGCTTTTGGTAAAGAAACCGATTTTCCCATGGCCCCTAAAAGCATACTGGGCTTGAACTCTCTATGGTGACTATTATTATTTAGATACTCAGCAACTTCTATGACAAATCAAATAGCAAAATTCAGAAAGGGGACCACAGAGAAAAGAGGTTCTTTGGGTTGTTTCCTGCAGTCCAAATGTCACCACATCTGTGGGTCATTCTGGTCCTGTGGCTCAGCCAGCACAGGAGGGGTGGCTGCCTCATCCTGTTGCCGCAGGGTTGCGGGCTAAAGCCACGGGAGTCTGCCCACGTGAGTAACATACCCTGCCAGGCAGCAAAGTGGTGATTTTGCTGCCAGGGAAGAAACAAGGCGGTTTTACAAGAGCAAGGATAATGTACAGCAAGTGTTTGAAGGCAGAGACCCAGCAAGGACAATCTGGCCACAGGGAGGGTAAATATTACAGGATGTAGATAAGAAAAGGTAAGAATCGGAGGAAAGCCTCCCAGTTTCCAACAGCATGAAAGGAGTCTAAAGCAAACATAACTGGTCTCTGAACTAGGCCCAATACTTTAGTGTAAAGATGAGAAAACTTTGAGATGAAACAAACACTGAAACTGACCAGTGTGGTTTATCACTGGCTTTGCAACTGTGGGTGAGAAAGTTCCTCTATATGGACTTTAGCTTTCTCGACTATCAATTAAGATGCCAAATATCCCTTTCAAGACTAAAATTGGTTGTCTTAAGATTTCAATGGAACGGAAAATTTAATGATAGAAAAAAACATATAAGAATTCTGAGGTTAGTAAATGAATTGTTTCTGGTGACTTTAGATGGAAGGAGACCGATGGGGAAGTTCTGAATCGGAAGCAGAAAGCTCTCAATACAGAACTTCTGGACTAAGATGCAGTTTTATTTCAAGGGATAAATAGTCATCCTACTAAATCTAAGGGTATTTATGCTTTGCCACTGTCTTTTGACATACATGAGCATCTTCATATTTTTATCTCATCTGGTTCAAATTTATGAATGTGTGAAGATGAAGACGTAGGCTGGAAATGTGTCTAGAAGAATGATATCAATTAACCGAGCTGTTGTTTTTTTGTATTAACTAATTGTCCACATATTGCAAACAGAAATTCCCTCTGATGGCTCACACTTATTGCTCTATGGGCTTATGCATAACCAGGGGGTAGATAAGCTTTTGCGACTTGGACCATCTCCTACTGATGGTCCAAAGCTTAACACACTTTCTGGGATGTGGAACGTACTTGGCATCAATTGCTAATTTATTAAATTATAGAATGTTGGATGGAAGCAAATGATTTTTTAAAAATTTGTTTTACCACTTTCTAGGAAAGTAGCACCATCAAATACTATAAGAATATGCCGATAAAATATCTTACATAGTAAGTAGTCAATAATATCTATCAATGACCAAAAAAAAAAAAAAATGACTAAATAGGTGACTGCTCTTCTTTTGCCTAGGCTGAATATTTGTCTTTTGCCCCACAGCACTCTGATTCCAAATATCATCTGAAGAAAAGAATCACCTCTCTGACCTTGCCAATAGTCCCATCCCCTGAGGACAACAAAGTCCTCACGAGAGCTCCTATCTTACCGTCGACACCTGTCACCCCTCCACCACTGTCTCCAGTCTTTGGAGGCACCAGTAAAATAGACCAGTATTCTCGGATTCTCTTCCCAGTTGCATTTGCAGGATTCAACCTTGTATACTGGATAGTTTATCTTTCCAAAGATACAATGGAAGTGAACAACAGGGTTGAATAGCTTGCAGCTAGGACACTCTGTATTATATATGTATTATATAAGTTTTCATTTTCTAATTTTTTTAAAAAACAGCATTGAGACTTGTGTAGATGCTTTTCTGAAAATGAAATCAAAATTGAAAATCTGTAACACATAGCTTTCAGTAAGCATGTATGAGTCAAAAAGCAATAATATTACTCCTCATAATTGGAAGTTGGAGGTTGCTGAAAACTATGACTTTCTTGCACATCAGAGAAAAAATTTGATAAGAGAATAAGATGAATTCAAGATGAATTTGCCAAACTTTGTCCTTCATTGTTCAGTATTTAAATTGTCACTGCAAATAACATTTACCACAAAGCAGATAAGAAATGCTGACACTTCCAAAGGTTGCCTTAAAATATGTTTATTTTGGCTTATTTGTCAAAAGATCAAAATATAAATCGTCTAAATATTTATCAGTAGGTTAATATCAGCATGTTGGAAGCCTTTATGCTAGTAAAATGACTTTCAGTGGCATTGTAAAGCCTGTATTGAGCTTAACCATTTGTTTTTAACCTTGCTGTGCTATTTTACCTCAATAAAGTATGGTGTTGTATACATATGAATTATACATAGATCATAAATTATGAATGCATATGTACATAGCTTTACTTGGACTGCAGTAATGTTTTATCTTATTAAGCTTTCCTTTTAAAATGATACGCTCATCATAATTCCATGAAGTTGTAGGCAAAAAAAAAAAAAATGTGATTATAAGGAAGCCTTGTATATTATGACTGTGGTTATAACTTGTATTTTCTACCTTTCTGAGTATACCATTAAGTAAAATGACAATGAACATGGTTGTCTGGATCTGTTTAATAAAGCTAGGGAAAAGAGTTTCCAAGTGTCTACTTCTACCCCAGTTTCACTGTCCCTGGTGATTCTGCAAGGTAGAAGGTATGGGAAAACCAGACTCAGTCATGAGGTTCTAAACAGGGACTCGAGTTTGTATTCAAAGAGCCAATCTTTCATCTCCTTCCTGTTCACTAAACACGCTTTCATTTATAAGATGAATAAGATCTGAGGATCTAATGTATAGCATATTGACTACAGTTGATAATATTGTATCGTATACTTGAAATTTGATGAGCATAGAAAAACATTCTCACCAAAAAAAAAAAAAAAAAAAGTAAATACATGAAGTGATAGATATGTTAACTAACTCGATGCAGGAAATCATTTCACAATGCATAGATATATCAAATAATCATGTGTATACTTTAAATATTTTACAATTTTATTTGTCAATTATACCTCAACAAAGCTGAAAAAAATATAAGAGACTATTCCTCTCCATTTCTACTACTCCAGCTCTTCTTGGTGCTAAGCCCAGCCATATTTCTCCCATATAGAAGAGTCTTAGGGAAACAGGAATTAGAGGAGTACGAGAAGCATGAGGCGTGGTCTGTTCGAATCAATAAATCCCTTATTAGCTGTTGCTTAGTCTTAAACATCAGAGGTCATCCTCAACTCTAATCCAAAAAGAAGTATTTTGGAGTCACTACTGTTGTCTTTATCCAGGAAAATGCAAAAATTCTACAGGCAAACAAATTAGAGTTTAATAAAAATAGAACTCTTAAGGACAAGAAAACAGCTCTCAATTCAATTTCCCTATAAATTAACTTCATGACAAAATCTTGAGGAGAATTAGTTCTACTTTCATCTATAGGATTAGGTGGTGGATCAGATGTCCTTTACAGGTCCTTCCATTTTGAACAACTTATATTTGTTTCATTATCATTCTTTTCTATCTAAATTAAGTTAGTGTAATGATACAGGGCCTGCTTCTGTTTTAGGAAGTACACTAAATTATTAAATGCTACGAACGTATTAACTATCTTATATGCTATACTATATTTAATCTTCCTCACAAACCTCTAAAGTGTACACTACAATTATCTCTATTTAAAGATGAGAAACCAAGGTGCAGAGAAGATAAATAATTTTGTGGCACTCAAGTGCTACAGTTGACTTACACTCAGGCCGTGCAAATCCACAGCTTGTTCACTTAACCATAACCATTCACGCCCTTGTCTAATCCAGTGTGACTCCTTAATCCCCTCCACGAGTCTCTCACCTTGTCTTTCATTTCCTGTAATAATTTTCCTGGTTGTGTGACATCCTTCCTGCCCTTCGTTGGCATTCATTCTACATTTTACTGCAAAGAACATCACTTTCAGTCAACATTTATGCTTAGAGATGAAACAAATTTTAAAACTAACTAAAATCACTAGATTGTATACACATTAGATTTCTCCTCGATGAAAAGATCTTGAAAAAATTCATAAAATTACAAAACTTTTAAATAATTAAGGATTCTGGAGAATACTATTTCTCAGCGTACATCATAGGGTGGTAATAGAAGTTAAGTGAAAATAAGACAGATTCCCTAGTCAAATAAATTGGAGAGAGATGCTTAATTGAAGCAAAATATGTTTCTTTTCTATTGGATTTCTCAGAACCTTTATTATGCTTATGTGCAGTATGATCTTCTCATAGTTTGCTATATTGTATTTAACAGTTCCCAAATCCACATGGCCCAGAGCGTCCTTTTACAAGGCAGTCATATTGAGATTAGCATCGCTCAGAAAACAATTTAGAAAACACCACCTTCGTATTATTTATATTATCCCTTCTATAACCATCTCCCCAGTTAAAACAGAAAAGAGATTGAATTTCTGAACTGAGTCATGACTTATTCCAGTCCTCACAGCTATTACAGACCAAATTAAAACTGTGTAAAACAGAAACCAGATTAGGTATTTCAATAGAGAGAATTTAATGCAGAAGGAACTGTTAAATGAGCAAAACCAAGATAGTAACTTCAGGAGGAAGACACCAAAAGCAAGATGATAGGGTAACAGAAGCTAGAAATTTATGCAATTATAGAGCTGGACTCAATCGTCTGAAAAGAGGACACCACCTGAATAGTAACAGTAGCTCAGCAGCTCAGAGAAGGAAACCCCAGAACTAGGAATCAGACCTTCAAGGACAGGGTGTGCCACTTGGCTGGGACTGGTATCGCAGGTAAGAAGAGGAGGGGCTCCTCAGAGCTGGGTTTTAGAACTCTGAGCCCTGTCCACATGTTGCTTGTATCTCTGGATGGTGCAGGAGAACGTGTACATGTGGGATCAGACTTGCAAAGAGGAGGGGCTATTTTGCTGAAACTGATACCTTTGAGAGGGAGCAATGAGGCTGTGTCTGGGAGTGCAAAAAACTGGAGATGGAATCAACTGTTGTCTCAAGGTGAATGGTAACATTAAAAGGCAAAGGAAGTAAATAAAAAGGGGATTATTCCTTTCTCTTTTCTCCAGCTTTCTAGTCTCTCTTCAGTTCCACCACTGAAAGAATGTGACAGAAATCCTAGTAGCAGAGAATAAACAAAAATTGGAGGATTCCAGCATCACAAAATAGAGGATAGAAGGCTGGATTTGGTCCTTATGCTTAATAACTGACATAATTCAGCCTTTTGGTTATTCAATATCATATATATACTTCTGTACATATTTACATTGTTTCATAATAATAAGATGCAATTATCCTTCATACAAATAGAAATGTTCTCAGCATTTGTCCAAAAAGGAGATAAACAATATCCAAAGAGCCATTGTATACACTTCTAGGCAACAATCACAGTATACATTTCTGAGTGATATTTAATCTTCTAATACAACCACAGTCCTACCTGAATATTCCGTTTCCCAAGGCTTAAGTTGTAAGTCTTTCTATGATGAAAACATCTTTATATAAAATAGTAAGGGAATAGGAGATGGGAAGTCAAAAGTATTTAATATATACAAGTGTCAATATTTCTAAATATCTATGTGATCTTTATATAGAGCTATATCTATGTCTATGAAAATAAAGGCAGGCAAAGATGAAAATATGCATAGTGTCTATATTCTCCATTTCTATAATTAGTTACATGACTGCAGTAGATATAAATAACTTCCTTCTTCTACTATCCTTTTCTCTCAGTATCTCAGAGAGCTGATTTGGAGTTTTTTAGCTGGCTGAATTACTGAAGGGTCTTAATCCAAGAGCAGGATAGTTTTCTTACATTCAGGAAGGTAGATCGCTTCCATTTTTCTAAGTTTCTTAGCATTATCTGAGTCTACTCAGATGTCAGCGTCACTTTTCTTCTCAAATGATGTCCTGACTTTCTCATGGCAAGTTTAAAATTTTGATTTATAGTGTAATTCTATAATGAGCATAATTAAAATATGCATCTATTTTTTTAAGAGAAGCCAGCCTGCAGCTACAAGAAATACGAGATTCTTTGAAGACTGCCATAAAAGCTCTTTTGTTCTCAGTTACTTGAAATAAGAATAAAATGCCCTGAGTTTGTTCTTTTCTGTCTGTAGATTCTCCAGTGCAGTCAGAAGAGACCATGACACCCATAGTTCTTGTAGTCATAACTACGATAAAACTTAAGGGTTGAAGACACTTGGTTCCCAGGATATTCTGTTACAATCAACAAGAAGCAATGATTTTAATACATTGTGATGTGACTTCATATTATGAATTACTAGGGTCTCATTTCCCATTGGAAAGGAGATCAGTGCTTCATTAAAGGACATGGACATGACCAAATACATCTCAAAATCTCTGGTATCAAGTACAGTTCAGAGAAAGAAACAGCTACCACTTTAGGGGGAGAGAAGGAAAAGAAAGAGTTGGGGCTATCCTGTTGAGGAAGATTCCCAAGGAGCTGGGCCCCAGATATTTAAGGGGACAACACCTGGGACACAATGAAGCTAGTTTTGGAAACGCAGTAGGAACTTAAAGGCTGAACAAGTGCTGCTGCCAGAGTAGAGGGTCACTGCCAGGGCAGCCCTTACACAAGAGCGGCCTTAGGACTGCAGGAGGAAGACCCTTCTCCTTTCCTTCTTACTTATCTCCCTGTAGAGCCTCCTATTCTCAGAACTGAGTAGAAAGCATCTGAAATGAAGACATAAAAATTGTGTAGTTCAGCACCAGTGTTATAAATTATAAAAAAGTGGATCTACAACTAAGAGATAATAACCTAAACAGAAACATAGACTGGGACCTAAGCTATTCTGGTGTCTAGTTTATGCTCTTTAAAATGCTTCCTAAGTGGTTGAATTCCAGGAGCCATAATGAGCTGGGGGAGTAATGCAGGAGCAGGGAGACCTGTCAGAAAGCACTGACTGGTCAAATTCCGTTTCCATAAGTTATCGTCAAATGAGTTTATGTATGTAAATTGCTTAGAACAGTGTCAGGCGTATATAAGGAGCCATAATAAGGTACTATCTAGAGCAGTAGTAGTATCATCATTAAATCATCTTACTATATGT